AAATTAAGGTAAGCAAAATCCCTTAAAAAATCAGAAAAAAGTTTACATGTTTGAAAAGATAGAAGGAAGCTTGAGGAAAATGAGAAAAGAGTTTCAAAAATTATGCTAGTCTTTTCTAGAGTTTTGAATCTCTGGAAGAAGATAAAAGTGTATTTTTTCTACAGGCTCTTTTTCTTAGCGAAGTTTTCTTGCTTTTAATTTTGTAGGTAGATATTTCTTGTATTTACTTGCAGAAATTTAGAAAGTTTATATCAAAAAGAAAAAGAAACAAGTGGGAATAGCTATTGTCTCTTGATATGAGTATTGTTAATGAAAGTATATAGACTTTATTACAAGGAAATATAAAATTTCCTTGGAACATCTGTTTTTTTGTGTTGGCAAAAGAATCAGTGAAAAGAGATTATATTCATTAAATTTGTATCTTGAGTAATATCTAGTTATCTAAAAATAATTAATTATTTAATTATATAAAAATATTGCAACTACTATATATTAATCTTTAAATTATAATTAAAATTAATATACTTGCTTTTTAAATATAATTTGATATATAGTAAGTAAAGTATTATTCTATATTAATAATTTGTTTAAATAATTAAATAACTACTTCTTTAACTAAACATTATTAGTAGAAATTGATCTTTTATTTAACATATTTAGAATTAATATTTTTAATATTTTTAAAACTGTTTCAGATTAATTAAATCTAATTCAAGTTAAGAAAGAAAACAGCTGTATTTTACAAAATACTTTACATATAAAGCTATATTATTTAAATATTTAACTAAAATCTAGCTCAAATATAAAGCAAGAAAATAATATAGAAAAAATGTTTAAATATGAGATAGTAATTTGTTAAGTAAATTGTTTAAATGTAAAGTAATATTAAAATTTTTTATAGATATTGTTATCCAATTCATATAATAAATTTATATTGTTAAAAGATAAATGAAAAACTTTTGTTATTATTACTAGCTCATTTACAGAATAACTAGAATTCTTAATTGTCATGTATTATCCTATATATTTTTTAATTACTATTATAATACTTACAATCTATATTTAATTGTATTGACATTGATTACTATTTCATTTTTGAATATTGTGGAATACAACTTTTTGAAGATTTAAATAATAATAGTTGTGTAATGATTTTTTAGATATATCTAATCTAACTGTTAACAAGTAAACAATATTGAATTTGGTAATAATGAATAATGAATATTTTTATATTGTACTTTTAAAAAAAAACAAATTTACAAATATTCATTTCTTTTTCTTTTTTTAATTAACAAAAATCTTAACGAGATCTAGATTTTGTTACTAATAATAAAATTTTTTATTAAGAAATGTACTGTATATGACCATTATCATCTTCGGGGCTATGGTCATAAGAGTTGTTTTTCATGGTGACAAATGTCGTGTGATACACACGTGTAACACGTATCCCAATTACTACGTAACGTGTTTTGTGCCGACGCGTGCCTTGTACGGATTTGTGGTACAAACATAATAAATACAGGTAAGAAGGCGATGGCAAAATTTCTGAGGAGAACCTTCTTTAACACTTATTTGTGGCACGAAAAAACATGAAAAGTGCACACGCAATTACCTACATGCATACTTGTACGCACCTTCGAACACGATGGAAAAAGGAATTTACTAACAAGAGTTCTTTGCACCGTTCAGACCTATCATTTTCCGATCCCCAAACAATTCGAAACTCGATGTTACACAAAGAAAATTAGTCGGAATGGATTCGTCTTTAGGGTAACACGATAATTTTCCCTAGACGAACGAGAAATCAAAGTCGGATCGAAATCGAGCTAATAACCATTGGACAAGGTTAGAGGTCTTCAATTAAATTTGAGTCATCCATCTTGCACGATGTTTTCTTTCAATAAATTTGTACTTGCATATGTTAAATGGTAAGGCATTTTGTAGAATCATCATCGTACATCTCTACTTGACCGACAAGGGGTTCTGTGCATAAGGCAATTTTTTTTTCTCGGTGCACTGCGCTCACCGTACGTAAATGGAATTTAATCATCGAATCTTATAATATAACATACATCACTTATGTAATAAAGTAGTATAGGTAATGAGAAGTACGATAATAGTATAACATGTGTTATTCTGATGTTACCAAAATATACCCACCATAAAGATACATGTGTATAATAAAAAATTATATCGTTAATAATTCATGTTATGGGTCGCCCAACGAAATCAACCTCTCCGCCAATTTTTCATAAACCAATTCCTACTTCACCGTTGATATTTCTTATGATCGCTTAAGCCTATATTTACATTTCATATGTGAATCGAATCGAATATCTATAATGCAAAGTAAATGGTCTGACCTCTTTCTGTTCCTTAATTTGTAAATTATTAAGTGCGTTTGTATGACGGATCATTGGTTGAATTGTTTTAACAGATCAGGGTATACCAGATCAAAAGTTTTTGTTTGCTTATTTTCCACCAAAAGTGAAAACTATATATATACATATGATATTTATTCACACCACACCGACCTCCATTGCATTCGCTCTTTTGACTTCTTGTTATGAGATGCATCACATCAACGTAGAGATTCCATTCATTCCGTTGATACCGGCCATCTCGTTGATTCGGTTCAGACCATTAATACCATTGATTCCGCCAATTCCGTTAATCCTGACGATTCCATTATGTCCGTTTGCTCGGCTGCTTCTGTGATGTTGAGCGTTGAAGTTGTCGTTTAACGCTCGCAACATTGTCATCACCTCAAAATTATCAGAAACGTTTGTCGCTTGTTGAATGGATGGTTCCCTATGATGAAAGATTTTGTTCATGCGCTAAGTATCTCTATGATTATGTTGACAACAATAAGATTATGACCATCCCTCCTACTTACGAAACCCGCAAATAAGGATTGTATTCCAACTCTTCTTCGATGGTACTGGGAACTGTGCGATAAGTAGACTGAGCTTGAACCCAGTTCAACTTTTTCTGTGAATCACATGGAAGGGTTAATCATTATAAAAGGGTAAATCATCAAAAATTCTCTTTAAGGTATGAATGTGTATGACTTACATGCAAATTCGGATTGTTGGGGTCTATGGTGCTTGCAAACTAGAAAATTCGTTAGTCTCTCAGGAACTCGCCGATTACACACATATATACCAAAAAAAAAAATTGTTTACCTGAAGATTGAGGAATGCACTTTCATGCCCACAGAAAACCTGCGTATCTTTGGGTAATGACCCTAATATGGAGTAAAGAACGTGATACATATCCTTGGCATCACCCTCCACGAACCTCCCACATCCTCCTAGAAATAGTGTGTGTAATAGTGTTAACTCAAGTTTCTATATTGAATACATACATACATATATATAAAAGAATTGTATTCGTTACCAACTAATAAAGTGTCTCCCGTGAACACGGCCTTTTCTTTTTCTTCGTTCATTTCATCTCCATCTCTAACATAATAACACACGCTACCTTTTGTATGAGATGGTGTATGTAACGAACGAACCTTCAATGTGCCGACCTGTAAGGAGAAGATTTTTTAAATTAAAAATAAAAAAACCAACCCAGATTCTTTCGTAAATTTGTCACGTGAACTGGAAGGATTGAAGTAAATTGTACGCACCGTAAATTCTTCATTATGCTTGCAAACATAATTCAATTCTGTGAAAGAAACAAGAAAAAAAGATCAATCATTCTACACTTTAGGTCAGTGAGTGTCAACCAAGAAAATCCGAATTAACGCGTCACCTGGAATGCGAGCGTCGGCCCCATAGACCGCGAGGGTTGGCTTTGACAAAACCAATTCGATGTTCCCATTCGCATGGTGTCTTGAAGAACAATAAAAGATGACATCAGTATAAGAAAAATTACATAAGTTCGATATATTCCCCCAGAGGATTTGATGACATACGGGTGGTGGTGGGTGGTCAAGATGGATGTTAATTTCGCACTAGTTTGAGCAAGAGCGGTTAGGACCTTTTGCGGTTCGCCAGGATCTACAACGGCAGCTAACACATTGGGAGAAAGGTGTTAAGTGGATTATGCGTCTATTCAATGAGGGAGAAGTGTATAAATCGGAAAACAATGCGTGCAAACCTTCGTTGGCCTTATCGTCGACAATGAGGTATGAGTAGTTATGCTCGAAGATTGGAATAGGAATGATGTGCATGATTGAAAGTGAGCGCCAAGAAAGGGCTGTCAGCAAAATGGTTTAAAAAAAATCGACAAGAAATATGCAATCGCGGAAAGGGAATTTGACTGACTTCATTATAAAAAGAAATGTGATGTTTTTAAATTTCTTGCCAACACAAAAGATCTTCGTTGCACATAAATACAAATAAGCATAATAATTTTACTTTAGTGTCACAAAGTCTTGGCAATTTCGAAAGAAGGAAAGAAACTCTTGGCATCCAAACTAGGGTCTTGATATTTTGGTCCGAAAACACAAACATATGGTCATAAGGAACGATTCAAATTTCATTTTAGGATCACAACGTTTTTTTTTTTTTTCTGATCATAGATGACGCGAGTTTTAATTAAATGCTATATAGTTTACTTTTTATGTAATGAGACTTGACGTGGTGAACGTCAGTGATGAAAGTGATAACCAATTTACTCTATGGGAGGCCACTAATTGAAAGCCAATTTAAGAAAAAAAGACGAATTCCTGAGAAATTCATTATGCGATTGAGCACATCAATAATCAACCATCAGCTTTTTCATAATGTTGTTTCAATTTTGCATGAGCAGATAACTCCTTGTCCCAAATATAGAAAACTCAAACATTTGTTGTTGATGAATCATTTTCGTGTGATCCAACTTACAGTATGTTGTTTTGTTGATTCTCTCATTCTAGAAATTCGCCGTACGTTATTAGCATGCACGTCTAGTTCACATTAACGAAAGATCTATTTATGAACAAGGTCTGAGGAAAGACGGTGAAAAAGGATTCGACCTGTAGTCGCCTTTGCAAAATTCCGACTTGGAAATATACTTATTGTACGACCTGACGGAGCAGTCACGCTTGCGCGCACATTGAATTTCATATGCAGAAAATTTAAGGTAATAGATCACCAGTTATTTTTATATTTGAGATGATACCGTTTCCCATACCACACTGGAGGCACGATAACGTTGATCGGGGTGGAGAAAGGAAAGATTTTCCGGAATTTGTGTGGATACTTATTACCACTTAAGGAAAATAGCTTCTCCCGGGTCTTCGGGATCTAGTGTTTGAGAAGCTTCCTTCACCCAATATGTCCTCGGATAACACGTGAATTGCACTGTTTCCACCGTTTCGGGTCATCGAAGAGGCAAATCTTGGTATTCTGAATACAAAGATAAAGACGATACGTCTCGGATAAATTATAAAATTGTACAACCAATATACCGTCACCAAAGCATCATTATACCTCCGCCTATTCAAAAGGTTGTTAAAAGAGGGTGGTTCACATGAAGCAGACGGTTTCAAAATCGGTGCGATGGTATTGGTTTTATTCCAATGTTTGATGATCAGGGTTGCTAATAAGACTCCGAAAGTCGACTGAAATTTATGATCAATATAATTGGGCTTAGATATAATCATTGTCGTTTGCTCTTGTATGTGAATGTGCTGTACTTACCGCCAAAAAAACGAGATTATTATCCGTATAGAGATATAACGCTAGCACACTGAAAGAAATAACTGAAAGAAGGAATAATGAGTTTTTTTCAATTTATAATAAATATTCATGATATTGCAACTTATACACGTTACAATACCGAGAGCTACTATCCCATTAAGCCCCGTCCGAGAAATAAGGGACCTGAATAATGGGAATGATAACCACGGTATCACATATTTCACCGCATTCCCGTAAGAAACCGAGCCTATCCATCAATTCTCTCGATTAGAGTTTGTTTTGAAAGGTCAATCAATGTATTCAAATCAGAGGTTCGCCAAGTGTTACCATAGATCAAATTCATCAAATCCATTATGAACGCCAATGGTCTCAAAATCTTGACAATATTCCTTTGACTCTCACGTGCATCTGACACGGTTTGTGCTAACAACTGAATTTCATTTTGGGAAAAGTTCATCAGCAATTGAAAGTTTTTCTTGGCCTCGGTTAGAGTTTGGTCCCATTGACTCGACAATTCGCGGTGTTTATCCTTGTACTCTTTCATGTCGTCTTGAACTTGTTCTTGAGTCGTGGACATCTCAAGAAGGTTAGATTCGATGGACCGCAAATTCTATAAAAATAGAGTGTTTGAAGTGAATGATGGTATTCATACCAAATCGTTCAGACTTTGAAAGTAATCAAACAGACTTCCAGGATGTGCGCGAGTTTCTCAATGTTACTTTTGATAATGTTTTCGTTATACTCCTTCAATCACAAAAATCAAAGTGAGATGACACACGCGAAGATACAGATCAACAAGGAAAGGTATTATATACCATAGAATGCTTCAACTGTCGATTGATATCTTCATATGTTCTTTGTGAGTTCGATCGATATAACTCGAGATCCTAAGTTTTTTTTTTGCCTTAGCGATATTACGATAGAAGCACCGATAAAAAATGTTCACACATACCTCATTCAGCCGAGACAACCGGCCCAAGGTGTGCTGAGCGATATCCTGGGTCTCTGACAAATTATCCTTGAGTGTCATCATATTTGCTACAACCAAAGATGTAGTTTTCTAACGATAAAGATGACTTTGAGTATCACGTGATATACAGCAGTCAAAGAAAGTCTTGCTCACCTCAATCTCATTGACATTATCAAAGATCATCATTTGAAATTTCTCTAGTTGAGCCAATTTTAACATTTCCTCTTTACGCCAGGAAATCATCTCACGCTGTTGTACTCGTAAAATGTTGTAATTCATAAGTTGGTTGTGCGTGATATTTCTGTGAAGCTCTTCGAGTAAATCTAATAATGGGATGTCAGAAAGTAAGAAAATTCCTTTTGGTTCATCTGTTTCTCCTGGCATGTACATGTACATTTGACTTACCTCGTTCTAAGGAGTAACGTACAGCAAAACACATATGAACTAAACAAATGAATACACATTATCGTTCTGAACCTTTAACCATAATTGACACGGATCAAATTTACGTACAAACTTCACGAAAGTAGCCAGAGTAAGATGTCCATAATTGTGGTATTCGCGCTAAAGATCTAGTTAGGTAAAAGAGTTCGTTTCCTTCGATCAGAATCTTATGTCGAAAATGCAAAGTGATTCGAAAACTTACTCAACGCAAACCTTAACGTCTTCATCAAACTCATCACATTCCATCGGCGCCGCAAGATTTGCGGTCGCGATTTCGCATTTTGTCAATCGCACCGCATCTGAATGTTGATAACGACAGGAGCAATACGATGTCAAAAAGAAAGGATCGTTGAATATGGTTATACTACAAAGTGTTGATTAAATACTTGCACAAGATCTTATCGTTATCGTCAAAATTCACATTTCTACATCCATTCTTCAACATCGATGCCGCTTCCTTGAAGCAATCTTGTTTTCTCTCGAATCGAGCTAACGCTGCTTCATGATCGTCCCAGGAAAATCTTTTTAGACGACAGTCCGAGGGCTTCATATGGGAAATGGCAGTTTTTAAGAAAATCATTTACCATGTCCGTGCTCAACAATCATTCTCTCTTCATTCGATAATTTCAGGAAATTCGCCGACCAATCTGGAAAATCAGAAAAAAAATTTCTAGGCCGACCTTTTTCCTCAAAAGAAAAAATGAAAGAAAAAAAAAAGATGACCTGATAATTTGTCGTCTTCCGAAAAGGGGAAACCATCGTCCCTTGTCCTTCCTCCTCCGTCAACTCCATTGCTCTTTTTCATAAAATTCGGAATGCCAAACCACCCTCCTCGACTGGCTAGTCCAAATATCGATTGAATCAATGTCATTAATGCCAAAATGATAGGGATTAATCTTTTTCGAGGTAATCTGAAAGTCATCATTTTTATTATCTCTAGAGAATTAATTTAGTTTAATTTGGGTTAAGAGTAAACGACCGAACGATAGGAACGGTGCAGTTATTCCGACAACAAAAAAAAACAAATTATCGATCCTCGACTCCATTTTGCAATTATTATTTTATATTATCTTTGGTTCATCTCCGACGATTGATGACGTGGGATTCTAGAGACAAAATGTTCACACAGATGACTTTCTAATAATTCAATTCGATATTCGAATTTCATTCCATTTCACATGCACTATTTCGGTTCTAGCTTGATTATTCAATGATGCAATCGAACATTTCGTATGTATAAATAAAGTGCATCACTTTCCCATTGCAAATAGATCTTCACCAAATTGTAAGATGTACAACCTTACTGGTCTTCTGGACACCTTTGGCATCTATGAACACTCCCCTCTAACTCACATTCTAATCTTTATTCTTTTCGCGGCCTTTCCCGCTTACTATTTTCTCTTTGGCACAAAACTCCCATCCACACCGCAGGATGACGAAGACGACATAGTATCATCTGGTGGATTCATCCCATTCCTCCGTAAACTTCATGCCAAACAAGGTGCCATCGTCTCAACGAAACTTCCCTTCAAAAACACCATATCAGTGGTTGATCCCGCAATCATCAAGGCAACTTTGCCAATTGGGGATAGGCCCAAAGATTTGTTTAAGTTTTTAGAACCATTGATCGGTGAGGATAATTTTCAAATTTTTGATACCGAACGAGCGGCGAGTTTTAAGAGATTGGTGAGCGCTGCCCTTGGACATGATGGTGAGTGTGCAGTGATTACCGCAAATGATAGACCGTCCGTTTATTGTCGTACTTATCATTATTCCTAATTAGTTTTGACGGCGAAATATGAAGAAATACGAAACATTGGGGTTGAATTTATCAATCGATGGGAAAATATTGTTAATTCACAAGACGGCGCATTAATTAGAATGCAAGAACAATGTTTGGAATTCTCTCTGAGGATTACCACCACGACTCTTCTCAGGTGAATACATCTACATCAAATATCATCACAGTTTTAATAGAGTATGCGCACGCACATCTGTCTTCATATCTTCTTCCCATCGATTAAAAAGCAACGATACTCCTCAGGATATGGATTTCAAAGCATTTCAAAATGCCTACGATACTGTATTGAATGGATTGTTTGATAGGCAATTTGGAGTTTTGAATGAAAAGCGCGAAGAAGAGTTCGAAGTTGCCATCACCTACTTTAACAACACGCTGAAGAAGTTGATCGACGAACGTAAGAGTGTCGACGTTGAACGAAAAAATACCGACACCAAAGACAACCATGTAAAAGATTTTCTTGACACTTTGGTGAGTGAGAATAATCCAGAGACTGGAGTGCCATACAGTGATGAAATGGTAAGTTAAATTAGTTGGGCATTCGTCTCCGTAGCCTGAGGATTTGTGATTCTTACATTTTTATGTAATGTAGATTAGGTATTTTATGAATGGGTACCTGACCGCTGGATATCATACCACCGGTGTTGCGATTCCTTGGACAATATTTTCTCTAACTCAAAATCCCGACGTTCAAAACAAGCTTCAAGAGGAAATCGATCAATGTTTACAGGGTCGTCTCCCTTCCCTCAAAGGTACATACCATTATTACAATAGAAATTTCACATGACACCCCTTTTTTCAAATAGAACTTCATATTTGTGATAATTAGATCTGTCCAACATGGATTATTTGACACAAGTGATAAAAGAAGCTTTGCGAGTTCACCCGCCGGGCTCATTTTGCGCCCGTTTAATTAAATCGCCTGCGAATATTCCAACATCTTTCGACTCCCGTGAGGAACTTCACATCGCGTCAGACACCACGATTATCTATCCAATCCCATTATACCACGAAAATCCAAATTATTTTGCCAACCCGCTCAACTTTGACCCATCACGTTTTTCACGAGAAAATATCAAGAGCATCAAATCAAATGCTTGGTGTCCATTCGGATTTGGCGTGAGGTCTTGTCCGGGTGAGCGAATGGCAATGATAGACATGAAGATGATGGTATGTATGATTATGCAAAAGTTCCGTGTGGAATTGGGCATGAAGGTTGAGGACGTGGTAAAAGAGGAAAAATTTGTCGTTATGCCCAAGAATGATATTTTGGTGAAATTGATTCCAAGGAATATTGAAAGAGTGTGACCTTACGTACATCTACGACAGATGGTAGTTTTAAAATCGGATGATATTTTTAGGAAAAAAAACTTTTTTTTTATTGTCTCGACAGTCAGGTCGTAAAGTAAAGTATTGTTAGGTAACGATCAAAAAAAAAATGTATGTACACACAAGAATCATGCGGATATTGCAAAAATATAAAAATTTGAATAAACTTGAGATTAAATCTAATGTGAGACGAGGTTTCTACAAAAATCGCAAGGATTGGAACCGGTTTCTTTCGAAAGAATATGTATTCATTTTACTTTTTTCAATTCATCCTGACAACTCCATGTTCTGAGAAAGGTAAAATAACATTATTCGTGATACAGTTGGAATGTACCATTTTTAGTTTCATTGGTTGACTGTAGGAAGGTGAGGACGAATATTTTTATATCATGCACCCTCACAATTGCACTTTGGAAAATGACTATTTGAATTGGTTAGAGATACTTGATACAATTAACTATGGTACTTTTACACGTCGCGCGCGTATACGTATATGGATCATGTGAGAATAGAGAATATCATTACTTTATGAGTAAGGTTTTCCCATATCAAGTTTTCGTCACACCGTCTACCCACAAAAACCACCAAAGATTTCGTAGCGAGTAACATGTTTCTTTCATTAAGGTTACAGTCACGAAGGTTCAGGTCGCGATTTACGCCTCGATGTTATTCATCGTTGAACACCACTCCAGAAATTGATGATGATTGTCTAGTAAGTGTTTTCACCCAATGCCTGATTCTAAAATTTTCGGCATTACGATGTTGATGGCCAAATCGCTGTATTTCCAGCCAAAGTGCCCTAAATGGTCGGTTAATTCTTTGTTGTCACCACCCGACTCAAAATCAAATGGAGAAAATGTTTCCCCAGAGATCACGGAGGAAATGTTCAAGAATTTATTAAGACTGTCAGGTTTAAGGTTGTCAAACAACACCACATCCAATGATGAACAAGCAAAATTAATCAAAGACATAAATATTTTGTGCAATTTTGTAAGTCATATTAAGAATGTAGATGTCTCGGGCGTGAAATCACTAAGGAATCTTTGGCCCGACAGCGTGGGAATTGAATTAAGAGAGGATGAGATAGATGATGGCGACAAAAAATTGGAAGGTGAAGGCACCACGCGTTCGGAGGGAAACGGTGGAACACCGCGTGGTGAGATAGGAAAAGGAAGAGATTTACTGAGACATGCTAAAATTTTGTATCGAGATTTTTATATTGTAAATAGTAAGGGTGGTGGAAATTAGGCCACCCCACCGAACACACGAAGAATGTGATCAATTATGAGATAAGATATTGCTTGATGGTGACATTGAGTGTAAACAATCTTTGAAACTCGTTCCCGTGAATATTTATATAATCTCCCCAAAGTTCTTCTTCCGGGATAACCTGTTGATTTTTCATTTACAAAATAATATCATTGCATCGGGACTAGTATCCATACCGAACAGGAATTGGTCTATTCCTAAACAAGTAAATCTTTCTAAACACCTGAACAGCATCATACTCTACATTTAAATTCTCCTCTTTGTCACTCGTCCTTCCGTTTTGACCGTTCTCGGAAGAAACTTTGGGTCTATGCAGACTAACCCTCGGTTTCGAAATCTCACTTTCCGTGAGATTATTGTCGTCAGAATCCTCCGCCTCCAAGTCTTTTGACGACCCAGAAATCATTCCCACCGACCGTTGAAAATTTTCAGCAAGCATGGACGATTCTGACCTAAAGTCAAAGTGTACATTATTCGATTCTGTATCATCCGGTGTTATGTCATTATAACTAGCCGTAGTCCGTTCTGATTTAGTTTGTCGTCGTTTAATGACCATTATGGGTCTCTCCAATTCGATTATTTGACCCGCGATGGTCCAATGGCCAACCCGAATTATTGGGATACCCTTATGTAATATGTAAAGTGAATGTGCAGGTCAGACAAGGATTCCCGAAACGGGAGAAGCGAATAAAAAACGGAATCAACCCACATCCTCCCCAAGTTGTAATGTTCCAATTTCTTTGCCTCTGACATCTTCGTGAACTGTTTCCAGTTCACCCTGTAACTCGAACAATACAAGTCCTTGACTTTCGTTAAGAGTCTCGTCAAAATCACCGTCTTCCCTTCTGGCCCGTCGACTTTTAACTTGACCTCGTAATTTATCTGCGTGTATAATGAATTTGACCATTCTTCTCGTGTTCCCTTTTCCCCAGAGGTGTTTAATGCTTCAGGCACAACACAAAGTTTTACTGGTGACTGCACAGAGCGAAAGGTCGCGAGCATTTTGTCATTTTGTACGCGACAACTTTCCTGATCGACCAATCATTGTTCTGGCATTAAAATCACGTTACATCAACCAATTGTAAACAAGACGTTTAATTATATTCGCCCAATAAAGAGTTGGAGAACTTCGTTATTATAGTGTTAAATTCTACACCTTTCGTGAATAATGACTTGCTCTCACCTATGGACCCCCTCACTCGAACCAAGAACCGTGGTTCACTCATGGTACCGACATGCAATGAACGAAGCCGCTGCCTTGGAAAAAGAAGAAGAGGAGCTTAACGCAGAGGTATGTTTTGAAAAAGTTGCATAAAAGTTTCCTGACCGAATGTTTTAGCGTTGTAACTGGTCGAAAAGTTATTGGAAATTAAAAACAGATGCAAACGCGCTCCTATCCCCGGGGCTTATAGGTTCAAGCACGGTGAATACTCTGTAAGTTCAACTGTTGATTCGAGTCGTGTTGTCCCACCATTTTTACCGTTTATTTCTATCCAATCGATTGCATTAACTTTCGTTACGAAGGACGAAGAGCTCATGGTGGGAGATGCACCAGAAGATGACTCAGAGTACGACGACGTCGAAGAAGAGGATGAGGAGGAGGAGGACGAGGATGGAGAAGACCTCGATGAAGAGTTTGATGATGAGGTTGAGGTCGGGGAGGAACCCGAAGAAGAGGAGGGCACAGTCTATTCAGATGCTCATGGTTTCGAAGACGACGACGATGATGATCCAGATCTGCCTGCGCTCATATCGGAATCATCAAACACACCAGAAGAGTCATTCTCGCCACCTGCGGAGACGAGTGTTACGTCACCAATGGAGAGGCACGCCAACGATAACACGGAAAGAACGATTTCCTCTATTTTACCAGCAATGAGTGTTGAGACACGCAGTCGAAATAACGAAATGGGTGGATCGGAAGATTTTACACCAAGAAATAATGTAGGCGAACTGAATTTAGTTTTGGGTGATCATTACGATACAGAGGACATGGAGGAATTGGACAATTTGCTTCCGAGCGATTGATTAGTTCTACTTTAGTAATTTGCAGACGGATACAAAAAAAAGGAACTCAATATTTTTCATATAAAACATTTACGCAAAAATCAATAGGCAATGATTATAGTAAATTTATCAATTTAAGACTGTTCGCATGAAAAAAAGAATAATCAACGTTACATATAACAGAACCGTTGCGAGTGTTTCACAAGAGTTCACGATATTCTTCCATCTTATAATTTAATCTAATCGCTACTTTTCAGATTCCTTGTCACTAATTCGCCTAATCGATTCTCCCTCCCGTGCTTATAGAAACTTTCGGAGAAACCGCCGGACATGGCAGCATACCTTGCTGCGACGAAGAAATAATCGCTTAATCTAACGATAATAGCAACATCATTCCTTTAATGGAAATGGTCACAGAAGCTAAAAGTGATGTTGCCCTCCTTAAAGAAATACCTATTCAAATATTTTCCAACGGTACTCTCAGCGATACCGCTTTCTACCAACGGCACCGTGACGCGTTCGGCTCTGCGACAGACCTGCAATAAAATGACCCATGATTATGTTAACAGGTACGCGCGCAAGAAGATGCGCAGAAAAGATCACACACCGAACGACATTGATGCAAGAACACCGCGCTTTCACCACCGGAAGGGAGAATGAAATTCTTTAAAGGGGGAAGTTTCTAAGAGAGAATGGTTTTTTATTAACGCGTGTAATATCGCGAAAATGAAATAGGATGGATGCGATAAACCGATTATATGCACAGAGTCGAGATGATCTATCCAAGATTCCAGAATTGTTACGTTTTCCTCGTCAAATGAAGTGTACGCTAAAATGTAATTATGTCAACGTGTGTCTATCGAGTTGCTTGATTCATTTGCGTCGTTGAATCGCTTACACAATTTATTCTCATTTGATGAATTTCGCGGAGTGGCAATATTGGACCCAACCTCAATCAATTTGCACTGTATCTGTCAAATTAAAAAAATAAATTTCGTTGGTAGAACTCGTTGAAAAGAAATATATCTATATCTATTTACTAACCTCCTTCAGATTCTCGGATAATCCGTTATCGTCTCTAATACAATAGTGACGAGCGATCCTAAAGGAGAATATGAGATAAGTGTAATGTCAACGAATCAGCGCATTCGAAAAATTTTTTTTTTACCCAATGCTAGAACTCAATTCATCCACGGTTCCTAACGCGTGAAAAATATCATCATGTTTCGATCTTCTTTCCCCGTTATAAAGAGAAGAAGTGCCTGGGAAGAAAAAAACTTCCATTTAAAAAAGGTGGTTGATTCAAAAAAAGATTTGTTTTTGTAACAAACCCTTATCGCCGGTTCTGGTATACAGATTTGACTTCTTTGGTTCGGGAATGTAAATAATAATATCATTTAATCCAAGTCGTTTCATAGAACAGCTGCAAAAAGGTTGTCATACCCCTTTGATTACCGACCATTCTTCGTTGACCAACAACAAAACAAAGTCCTGACAAGGTTAACGAAGTTTGTCGGTTTATCAAATGAAACCGGCAAAGGGATCGAAATAGCTTATGAGACATACTATGTATTTTCCGAAGCTTAGATCTTTTTTACCTATATGTATGTCATCCATCTGTGACACGCAAATCTGCTAGATCTGTCTCACCTTTTCTTCGAACTTAATGGTGCCATGTCCAAATTATGCTCAATTATTAAAGGCACCCAATTTACGAAATTAATAAATTCCGCGACTTTTCTTCATCCAACTCGAAATTTCGCTAGGTAATCCCCCTCTTTTATCACCAAAAGCTAGACAAAATTGAGATATAATATTTTGGCATTGATACGCCTGTTTAGGTCTCACCGAATTGCGAATTTGCAAACCGAGTCCTTCCCATCCAACCCTGATCCCTCCTCTTCAAAATTTTCTACGGTGAATGAGGCCGAAATTTTGAAATTCAGTCAATTGGCCGAAGAATGGTGGTCACCAAACGGTCCCGTAAAATTGCTACACAGTATGAATCCACTGAGGGTGGCGTACATGCGTCGACAGTATTCAAAATGTAGCGAAGAAAGAGGTGAAAACCATTTTCCTTTCAAAGGTCTGAGAATCTTGGATATTGGGTGTGGCGGCGGTGTCCTAGCTGAGGTATGATCGGAGATTCTCAATACCGCTCACCATAATAATTTGTGCTAATCTTCCGCTACGTATGACAGTCATTATCTAGGTTAGGGGGATCAGTGGTTGGAGCAGACGCATCCTGGGAAAACATTCAAATTGCCAAATCACACGCGCTCAAGGACCCAATGTTGCATTTAGGACCCGGGAAACTTGAATACCGATGCATAACGGCTGGTATTTTTAGTGTTCGACACATTAACATTACTATTATTTGAATATTAAATGTATCTTGTAAAAAAACTCGCGTAGAAAAATTATTGGAGCAAGGTGAAATTTTTGATATCGTTTGCGCAATGGAAATTATCGAACACGTGAATAACCCTTTGGAATTTCTGAGAACATGCGCCGGAATGGTTAAGGTACTTTATTAAATATTACACATTTTTCTCCGAAATACCTAAATTTCAAAGACCAAATTTTTATGCAGGCTGGAGGTGGTCACCTATTCTTGTCTACTATCTCTCGCACGCCACTTTCTTATTTTCTAACAATTCTGCTCGCCGAAAAGATTCTTGGGGTGGTACCAAACGGTACTCACGATTTCAGTGGTTACATCAGACCCGATGAGATACAACAAGAGGTTCAAAACCTTAAGGCAGATAACGATAACAATGCAACCAATGACAGCCATGCGTCAGAAAGATGGGGTGCGGTAACGGATGTGACGGGCATTGGCCTTAACCCAATCACAGGAAGATGGTTTGAATTTTACAAGTGGGTGCCAAAGAGAATTCAGCTGGATGTAAATTATCTATTAACTGCGAGAAGGGCGTAAACATAGAAAAACATCAATCCTATGGGAATGGTGCATTTCCTTGAACAATATGAATGACACCAAATTTATTATTGTTTATCCGGAACCTCTCTACTCTTCGGCCTCTGTTTATCAAGGGGCGTGGGAACACAGGCAAGATGGCACAAAAAAAAAAAAAAAAGACTGCTATCGTAAATTGAGCCATATTTCTATTTATGTTTAATCCTACTATAATTGATCCGGCTGCGCGGGCGACAATCTTGTATCGCCAGTGCTCATAAAAAAATTTTTTAGAGGAAATTCCGAATTTGCTTTGTGCCAACAATTTATTTTTAGGAACAGGGAGTGTGATAGGTCTAAATAAGAACCGTGAATTGTGTTAGTTATCCAATGACATTGCTTATGAGGTTTTACGGTGATCCACGTGGCTTTGCACAACGGCATCCTAAATTTGGTCAAGAATAAATGAAAAAATTTAATTCATCGATCAACGTCATACAATAGAAATACACAAATAATCCATAATTCATTGTATTCCAAATATAGGTCGTAATGTGGTTTTTTTCCGCTTAGTGGTCTTGATTGATCTCGTCATAAATCACACACAAACTAATCAATGATCGGTTATGTTTACATCACCACATTCTATACGTCTGAAATTATTCACACAAAACATGACATTTATTTGTGTTTGTATGTGCATATACGGTATATATTTTTCCTACGATCAAATAAATCAGAAACGAAAGTATCGATGTCAAAATAACATTTATCTAGGATGCTGCCGAGTTTCGGTGGAAGTAATACGAGAATGTCCTTAATTCTGTGTAGAATAACAATGTATGCTAGTGAAAAGGCGATTGTAAAAAGGAGGATCGGTGAAAAACATCGATGTCTCCACCTCATGACTTTGATTCGCGCGCGAATGAATGTCTTCCGCGAATACTTAAACTCCCAAAACCCATAACATAATAGATAATAATAAAATTCCTAATTTTGAACCTAATGTGCCGGATAAATAAAAATCATAGATTTTGATAATAAAAAAAGGGGATGATTTCTCATTTCTAAATGAAACTCTTTCTTGCCTTTTTTAAAAAATAAAGCTTATATGGTTATGATTTTCCTTGTTACGTGATGTGTTGTGATGTGTACGTAATAAAGTTATGTATATGGAAATAGAAAGATAAATATAAATACAGAAGTTTAAAGCATACATATATATAACAAAAGAATACATACACACTTTATATTTCTATACAGTCAAACCACAAATCAGATGATCAGTGATGTGAAGTGAAAAGTGCGTAAAATAGGGGTGGAGATAAGGGATCAATAAAAAATAATACATGATTTTATACAATTTTTTTTTTTTTTTTAGTATATATATATATAATCTTGGGGTAATGTAAATGATGAAAGGCAATTTATTGTTATTATATCTTTATAATTATCGAAAGGAAGGAAAAAGGGTGAGATTGGTAAAGTACAACATAACTAAAAAGATATAATATATAGCAGTAAAGTGCTTATTATCGAAAAAAATAATATATGTATATATTCAACGCCCGAAAAAAAACCAGTGACAAAGAAATTCTCCGAAAAGAAACCCACTCGTGGACTCATAAAATCCATATAATATCGTGCAGATTGCTTAGTTATGAGGATCAAGAGACACCAAATACAGGTGCAAATTAAATAAGGACAATTGTTATCATAATTTTTTTATTCTGATTTGCTACCTTGTGTTTGAAAACCTATTGGGGTTAACGGAAGGCGTGTTCTCACCGAAATTCGAAAGATGAAAAAGATCTGTCTGCGCAATGATGCAACTGTAATTCTTGAAACCTAAATTATGAAAAATGAATGAACGAAAAAATATATATCGATGAATTAACCTGAAACTAACGCGTCTCATTTCAAAAAAAGAAAGAAAGAAAACACATACTTTTCTGAACTATGATGGTAATAAAACCCTGTGATAATTCCCGTACTCAGTTGATAACAAATATAATAGAATCCCGCAAACGAAGCTCCATTGATGGTCTTGACACGATGATCAGGTACTAAAAAATGTTCTTTCCATCTCATGAAAATGAAATCCTTGTTGTGGAAATCGTAAACAAATCCATCCTTTTTTATGTTTTTATAGAGCGGTCTGAATGCAGGAAACTTTGTCTATTTAAAGATAAAATTTACCGAAAATAAGTAATTGGTCAATGGCAGATTGATGAAAAATTAAAATAAAAAATTATTTAACCCAATGATCTTTATCGACTTCATCATTAGCATCCCATTTTTTGGTCAGAAAAGAATATTTGCGACCAATAATTTCGGCTTCGAAGAAAGTGGTCAAATCTGGATAGTCTTCCGTTAAGCCCTTTATATGGAGATATCCGCACAAGAATGACTCTGAAAGATCGACATGCTAGAGTTAGAATAGATAAACATTTACTGAATCAGTTTTGAAGGATAAATGCGCGATGGAAAGTTGAAAAGAGCATCTGGATCTGGTAATGACACAATCATCTTTTCAAAGAAGAATTCCTAAAGTCACTTTCACGGATCCAATTGTAACATTTGAGCGGTTCATCGGATCCATAGAATAAGAAACGACAATAATCTATCTAAAATACAATTGTTAACTCATACCTGGATATGAACAGTGACCTCATAACTGTGATTACCACTTGTTTGTTTCCCTATAAACTTCGAACCCGAATAAAGTGAGCAGGTTGTGGTAGGCATCAACCTCACTGAGGAAATCTCGGTTGTAAGAGAAAGGCGACGCTTCCTCTTTTGCGCCAATTGTTGCTGTGTCAATTTTTCTTGACAATTTCTTTGTTGTTCCTCTTGATGCTTGTGAGATGGATCAAGACAAACACCATCAACGCACATGCATTTGTCTGGCAAACTACTCGCATTTCCGCTGATGGTGTTCGCTGTTGTAGAAATCACTGGGCTGGAGAATACTGGCATTTTAAAGTAGAGGTTTTAAAGATGTAGATTGACTAAAAAAAAAAATTTTTTTTTTTTTTTTTGAAGTCGAAAGTCCAAGTAATGTAAGTGGCTCGGGTAAAATTGGGTGGCGAAGTTTTATGCCAATTTTTTTTTTTTTTTTTGGAGTACAAAGTCCGAGTAATATCTATATTCTTTATAGAGTAGTGGGTAACTGATAGAGGGTCAATACTTTTGTTCGAGATTAACAAAAATCAACAGTCACCAAAAGGCCGAGAAATATTAAGAACCAAACCAGTCTATCTTTTGTCGTTTTAGTGGTGAAGCTGCGTTGTATTTTGGAATAAAACAAACGCAAAAAAGAAAAACAGAGAAAAAAGAAAAAAAAAAAAAACCTCTATGAGAATGTGTGTTCTATGTTTTAAAATTACAGCAACGGCTAACGGAAAAATAGATATTGGAGGATGGTGTGGAGGGGAAAAAGGGTATATTAGGGAGGGCAATAGTCAAAAATATTGAAAAAAAAAGAAAAGAGATTCGGTCTAAACAGATGTTTTCGGGCGCTAACGTTGGAAAACAATGATTGAATGTAGTATTTATTACGTTACTCAAAACGGATGCTCGCTTTTTCACGAGCCACATGAGAATTTTTTACATTTACAGCTAACCTTATCTCACTTATCCGCCAATAAAATTTTTACTTTGCTGTCATAGGTCGAAGCTCGAGATTTTTTTTTTTTTTCTTTTTTTTTTTTTTTTTTTTTTTTTTCAACCAACGATTTGTTCACTCTACTCGCATGTTCCTTACGTTTTGTGGCCTGTGCTGATACGATAGAATAACATATGAAGCCGAACATCTACTGAACTCATTACTGTATTCTGCAAAAAAAAAAACTCTATTGCTGCAACAATTCATGAAATTTTTTTTTTTTTTTTTTACGAGTACATTTCTCTTGTAATTTTCAAGTCTGACCTTTTGAATTATAAATCTTTGTGAAACATTCAATACAAATAATCATTCACAAAGTATAAAAAAATTTTTTTAATTGCAATTAGATAATATAATAAAATAACTGGTTTCAAATATTCGGCTTCGAGAAAGCTGATTAAATAATTGGGGATTTTTTTTTTGCATCTATCTACCTTAACTTGAGATCAAACAACCGGTTAATCATAAAGATGATTTGTTATTTTGTGATTTTATCAAAAATTACAATATCTTTGATTTAGAAAATAATTTTGCATTCTTAATAAATAAATATACATACTATTAAACAAAGTATTACATATCTTAAATTTATGATGATACTGTATATAAATCTATAATAATTCAACTTAACTGTCAACAACACAAAATCTCTAGATATAAATTACAAGAATAATTAAGATATTGCTTGTCTATTGAATAAAATTATGATTTATTTAATGCTCAATGGAATTGTTGCTTGCAAATAAAAATCTCTTTCAAAAATTATAATAAAAAAAACAAACTTTATAAAAATTTATATCACTTCTAACTCAATAAACTATTCAAATCAATTTTCAGATATCATATAATTGATAATATTTATATTATATATTCAAAGATTAACTTACAAAAAAAAATTTTTTTTAATTTTTTAACAAAGTTTTATTTATTTATTATTGATTATTAAAAAATTTTTTTAAATTTTAAAAATCATTATTGCATTAAAAATAAAATTTTTAATCAAAAATCAAACAAGTTAAAAATTTTGTTTATTCTTTATTTATATAAAAAAAAAACCTATACTATTTTTTTTCATAGCTTTGTTTATATATATATATATATACTATACATAGTATGTTATAAAAAAAATACAAATTTTTTTATTTTATTTAAATTAGTATAACTCATTCAATTGTAATTAATTTTTAGTTTGTTAGCTATAAATAAATTGTTAAATATATAAATATCTTATATTACTCTTGTAATTTTTATTTGTTTTTACTATTTATCAAATCTATTGTTTTAAAATAATATTATTTACAAAAATAAATCAATAAAAAATTATTTTATTTTTTTAAAACAAATATATATATATTGTTAAAGAACTCTATATTCAAACAAATATTTTCTTTAAGATAATATATAATATTATTCAAAAAATAAAAAAAATTAAAATAATAAATTATGTTAAAAAAAATAATTAATCAATAAAAATAACAAAATTTAACAGATAAACAATAGATTAGTATATTTATAGAAATCTTTTTATTTTAACAAGAATTATTATAATAAAATTAATAAAAAATATATATTGTGATATCTTATAATATTGTTTCAAAGTATTTAAATAAAACTAAATATCTAAATAATCTTACAACTTTTTTAAAATACAATTAAATATTGATATAAAAAAAAAAACTCTTTCTCGCAAATCTCCAAATTCCTAAAAATTTTCTTTTTTGGTAATACTACAAAACCCTCAAAAAACCCTCAAAGAAACACTCAAAGAGAATATCCAAAGGAAAACTCCACAATATCTTCTTGGAAATAAAGGAGAACAAACATAACAGGTATACTATGGGTTCAAAAAGTATATTAATACTTCTTTATTTTTTAACTTTAGAGACAGATATTTGTGATTTCTCACTGGGAAAGAAGAAAAAACAAAGAATACAATTTACAATAAAATTAAAAAGAGAAAGTCAGCACTGCACTTCACAAGTTGCTAGCCAATCATGCACCAGGGTAGATATCTCTCTAGACACCAGCAGGACTTAGTATTGGCCAGATTACATCCGGTAAACCAAGCAACCTCACACACCAACATAAAATTAAAAGGGTTCCAAGACTTTTTTATTACTGTAATTGAAAAGAAAAACAGATCTCAATATTCTTTGAAGATAAACAACACCCATTACGTGATCAGATTTTTGATGGAGACAAAAACCAAAGACAGGTTACCCCCTCCCAAAGATTAACAGTAACGCAAACACATACTTTTCAGAATCAAACAATATCAACAACTGTCAAACAAACAAACACAGCAATCCAAAATGCGACACGTGTATCTAACAGATTCAAAGTTTATCAAAGTTAACTTATCCCAAAGCAAGATTTACAGTAGCATAAACACACTATCATTACAAACAAAGTAATAAGACACAAACAGTGCTTACCAAAACGAGCAGATCACAAACAACTTGGAATAACATATATTAATTTCAATTCTATATACCAAAAAGGGACAACTACACTACACAATAAGCTGTTTCAAGCAAATCAACATGCACTAAACAAATAACAAATTAAGTCAGCTCACATGTGCCAACCCAGCAAAAGTCCAAAACAATGGCTGACTCCAACCCAATCCAAATAGAAAATCTAATAATAGAACACCTCAAAATGATTAAAGACAACTACAATGAAGGAGAACAAAGGTGGTTTCATATGTTGATCGAAGATGGTACAACAAATATAACATTAGAATTGATAGAATTAGAAGCAATAGTAAACATCACAGTCATAGATACAGTAGTGGCAAAACTTCTCAATGTCAATTCAAATACAGTCATAAAATGGATGTTGGTTAAAAAATACATCAAACAAATCTGGGCATTTAATTAATTAGACATAAACATATTAAACAGATATATACTGGAAGACTTACAACAAGTGTTCCAAATTATGGATATCCTACATTCAGGTCAAAACCCACGATATGCACAAGACAAAAACCCAAAAACTATATTATCTTCAGGACAACCCGAGACAAAAAATTATAACTACAACTATCAACAAGAGTTAGTTAAAAAGAGTAAAGAAAACATGTCAGAAAATTACATTAATCAAGAAGATGTAATAAAGCAGGCAAACAAAGAACAACAAATACCAGAAGTTATTATAAATGAACAGACCTCTGGAAACATAACTGAAGACCAGGAAACACATGTTCCAGAAATAGTCATGAAAGAGCAACCTCCCTTAGACAAAGACCCTGATATGCTAATACTCATTCCCAATCCACTGGAAGACATAAAAGCAAAGGAAGACTACATAACAAGAAACAAAGTCTTCTACCCAACAAACCCTTACCATATTCGTAAAAAAGGAACATATAAAATGAAAACTCTAATAGCAAACACATCAGGAGAGAATCAAGAAGAACAAATCAAGTATCTTGCAAACATTTTCAAGCTTCCTGCCAACAAATACGATCTAATCCAACCATACTTCCACAATGGAAATGGATGGTACACAATCCACTTTCATTATGAAAAGGACAAATCGGCATACATTAGCAAATTCAAAAACAAAGAAGATTTTGAACTGATCACAATACAGAACCCAAATCTCAATCAAGACAACAAAGTTAGCAAGAAAACTGAAAATATCAAATACAGCATGCCAGAAGGAAATCAAAGTCACAACAGTTCTAACTTATTCAATTTAACTAACAAACAAGGTAGAATACAACTTCGAATTAGATGTAACCCTCTCCCCCAGATCAGTAGAGAAAAACAACTACAATAAATAGCCAACATGCTTCAAGTACCTATTGAACATAAGGAAATTCAAGTTCTGACAATAGAAAAAAACAAATGGATAAGTCTTGGTTTCAATAAAACAACAGATGCTTATAGGTATAAACAACAGCTATTAAAACACATACAACCACAAGCCATAATTTTGAATATCACCAAAAATATCAGTCCAGATGAAGAAGCATTATCAAAAAGCTCATCAGCTTCAGAAAGTTTAGAAGGTTCAGAAACTTCAGAAACTTCAGAAACCACCAAACCAATACTAGATCAATACATACTTATAGATATTCCAGTACATACTTCACCCAAAAAAGTATGAGACATCCTTAGTAAATACAGAAAAATCCAATCACTTAACATCACAAAGGGAAACAACAACTACAATAGTGCTATAGTAGCATTCCAATCCACAGAAACCAATCTTAAGAAGATCTGATCAATCCTATTGGATAATCTAATGGCAAGACTAGCACCATTAGAAATCCATCAGGATATCCTTATAGAACGCAATG